AGTTGTGCAGATTGGTGTTATAGCAGTCGTAATGGCAGGGGAACAGATTTTTCCAATGTTAGGTTTCGTGGCACCACCTCCTTGGTATTATAACTTGCGTGCTAACAAGTTCGGAACCATGGCTAGTACCTGGCTTCTTGGGAATGCCTTGCAGTCGTTCCTACAAAGTTCTGGAGCATTCGAGGTTTACTTCAATGACGAACTGGTTGGTTACCTCCCTTCTGTCTTCTGTTTGCGAAAATCCTTTCTTTATGAATGGTGATTTGCTAGTGGATTAGATCCTCTGTTTAGTGAATACAACCTCTCATATGAATTGTGTCTCTATGCAAGAAGTGTCACTGAAGTTGCCTCATCAGCTTGCTTACCATGCCATATAAGCTTTTTCAGTTAATATTTGCTAGAAACTTCCCATCGACCATCATAAAGTTTATACATCACGTCTTGCTGGCACAGCTGTTTGCGTGAGGAAATCTGTAGTTATGTGATTTTAGCTCCAACATCATGAAACTTGTTTGAGATTGAGTCGTGGATGTTCTAGACCTTCTGTTAGTATTTTAAGAGTTCAATCCAATATCAGACTCTCACCATCTTACCTGCATATCCATTTCCTTGGAGTAAGGCGGATCTCTCTCTACAATTTTTATTCATCTCTTTGGTCTTTGGTTTTCCTCCTGTTTACCTCATAGGTCAAGTATTCGATTCGTGGATGAATTCTTAGGCTCCAGAATGCCGGACATACTGAATTAATCATACATGAACCATTATGTGACATCCAATAACCAATAGAAATAAATCCCTCCTTAACATGTAAAATAGATATGCGCTGTCTTTATTCTTTATACTGACATCTTGCTAATCTCTTGTCTTCACTTTGAAGGTGTTCTCTAAACTGAAAGAGGGAAGGTTCCCTGGAGAGATTGAGCTGAAAGAACTTGTTGGCAGAAAGATGTCAAACGCAAGGCTTGTCGCTGGTGTGCCAGAATTGTGGTCCTAGGTTCTTATGCCTTACATGAAAGATGCTAGTGGACTTCCCTTTTCTTTGTGAAGTAGATGCCATTATACCAATAGCCAAGTAATGTCATGTTGTAGGGTTTTCATCTCTGTAGTTAATAATACTGGAGCCTTAATTTTCCATGTGCAAAAAACCAATTTTTAGTTCTTTCAGGCTTGTCTTGAGTCAGATTCTTTTTGTTTTTTGGCCAACTCTCAAGTCAGAAATTAATATTTACACTAGGATATGAATTTGGATATACTTTTTAGGTGAAATGAAGAAGAGAATGAAAGAATAATCATTGTATATATCTAAGAAAAAAAACATCAAAATTATAATTTCAACTTTTCCCCCTTTCATCGTCTTCAAGCCAGCTCTAATTTCAAACTATAAATCTGTATGTGACGTTTGCGTTCTCTCTTTTCTTGCGCAATAGAAGTATGCTTAGACAAACTTGCTTGTTAACCAAACCAAAAAAGTACGTCATTGGGTGATCTTGAATTTGAACCCCACAATATCCTATTTTAATACATTTGTAAGTTTGATTCCGGATTCAAATTACTGGACATCCATGAAATTGTGCTGTGAAAGGATAATCAAATCGAGAGCCAAGTGATTTGGCTATGCAATGATATACGATGTCACATAACTAGGATATTGAAGTTAAACCGGAAAAAAAAAAAACAAAAGAAAAAATGATATTGAAACGACTCCTTCCCTCTGGTAGTCAGGTTTATAAAAAGCTTCACCAAAACATTTTTCTTGCGTACCAAAAAAGTCATTAAATAAACTGAGGTTTTTTGAAATCATTTTTCTACCAGCACTCCCAGACCTATCGCCAACTGGGTCGCCCCCATCGCACCCAAGATGAATGAGCGAGAGAAAAGAGATGAAGAACAGAAAGGGATTCTAGACTCTGAGAAAAGCTGTAAATAAAAAATAATTAAATAATTAAGAGAGGTGGTGGAATTGTACACATTGGTTAACAGTAGCTAGCTATGTAGAGATTTTTTTCCCTCTCTTTTTGACCTTTTGGTATCTTACTTCTATGATATATTGGGAAATTTTTATTTGAATTAAATCTAAATCTGAAAATTATTTTCGTATTAAAAAACATATTCTGTAAATTCTCTAATTTATACTCCTCCGATCCTAAATACAAGACCTATTTTGTATTATAAAATTGGTCATATATTTAGGACCCGAGGAGTATATATTTTGTTCATTATATTTAATTCTTCCAATTAAAATAATTTAAATTATTACATTCTGTAAATTGATGATTTTTTTATTTTATATCATGTAATAAAAGTCATACCCATTTTAGTAATTTTACAAACTAAACTTACTTATTCAATCATGATCCAAACAACTACTTTTACTCAATCTAACTTTTTCAAAAATCAATCTAAACATAAATCACATTACCCAATCTCACTTTTTTAAAAGTCAGATTGAAAATAAACTATTTTTATTATTTCTAATCCAAATGGGCACTTAGTACTTTCCCTGAAACGTCCCTTAAGTAGCGCTTTTTAAATACCATTTGACGGTTAATACTAATATTACTTTAGTTCTAAATATAAATCACTTATAGGAAGAAGTTTTGACCCTAAATGTAAATCACTTGTACTCCTCTGGTCCTTAATATAAGACCCATTTAACTAATTTGATTAGATTAAGGGAGTTAGGTAAGTTAGTTAATTATAAAAAATATGACACGTTTTTCCTAAAATACCATAATCATATTTCTTAATACCTCATCTTTCTCTTTTGATTATGGTTGAAAGGGTATCCATAGGGGTAATTTAGAGATAATTAATAAATATGATAAATGGGTCTTATATTTAGGACTAAAATCAACTCACCAATTGGGTCCTATATTAAGGACCGGAGGAGTAGTATATTTATTGTTTGTTTTGTAATTTTACTCTTATTTAATTCTACTTGGAAAGAGAGAGAGAAAGAAGAGACGCGAGAATGATTTGTGAATGAAGAGGAAAAAAGAAAAACTTCACTGACGGCAAATTCGAAAAAATTTCAAATTAGCCCATTACTTGGTATGTGAAAATATGCATCAGGTGACTTGCATGTTGACGTAAAAAACATTCAAAAGCTTCCTGAAAATATAAGGTTTTAACTTTTAACAGCTTTATTGTAGCTACGTAGAAAATTTGAAACACTTCTTAAAAAATGCCCTTATTATTTAATGATTGAAATTTAATGTGTAGAGATAAAAATAACTCAATAATAAGGGTATTGTGAGAAAGAAAGATATGATGCCCTGTTTATAATTTATAATATAAGTCAGTCTCCCAAGTCCCAACTTAATTTGATTCAAAATATAACTTCAATTTGATAATATCTAGAGCATTTAATATTTTTTTATATTATGTATTTTGATACAATTAAACTTTATAAATAATTAATTCACTATAATTGACTTAGCATTGGCTTTTGACAAGGGTATGTTTAGAAAGTTTTACAAACCTCTTTTACTCGTTGGATTAATATAATTTTCAATCTCTAAAATTTGGGTCTATTTTGATTTTAGTCCTTTAAGTTTCAAACCCATGATCTTAGTCCCTCAAATTCAGTTTATATTAAAACATTAATCCTTGAAAGCATAATGGTATTAAAATTTGCTAAAATGTCATAAATGGTGTTAAAGTGGTAATATAAACTCACTAAACAATATCTAGTTGGATCTTGTATGGATAACAAAAAGAAAAAATAAGAATAAGTTCTCAAAAAATAGCTATTTAGTCCCCCTATTTTTTTCTTATTGTTCGTTTGAGAAGCTATTCATTACACTGTATTTTGAAAACTCATCTCCTTCTATATAATATGCTATCCGCCCATGATCTTGTTGGGTCATCTAATGAGTCCACATCATTACTATAATGCCGTGTATGACATTTCAGTAAGTTTTAGCATTGTTACACCTTTAGGGACTAACACTTTAAGATGGACTAAATTTCAATGACTAAAACCACAAGCTTAAAAATTAAGAGACTAAAATCAAAATGGACTCAAATTTTAAGAACAAAAAATTATCTTAACCCTTACATTTTAATAATATAAACCACTATTTTCGGTCAACAGATGGTGATTAAATTAGACTCAAAAAAGTAGAAGACAAGAGAGAATGAATCCTTATATGAAGTTATTAACCAAAAGAAGCACTTTTTATATGCAGTGTTGGGTTTGAGATTTTATACTAACATGGAATACGATGAAATTAACATTTTTTAAACAATTTCCTTTACTGTCAAGAACATAGAGCGTTTGTGTGTATTTAAATTTATTGTGCTATATTAATATGTAGTGAAACAATGTTCGTCTAATTAAATTCTTTTATCGATTGACTAGTTCAGATGATAAAGTTGGGTAAAAGCCACTGTTTTAAACCATAACAATATAATTATTTTTTTTTTAATTTATTAATTTTCTTACAAATTAGATTTTATAGAAATAATAAAAGGCAAGAGCATTCTTTTACACATCCCAAAAGAGTGAAGGTTCAAAATAGATTTAAACTGGCTGGCCAAAAAAAAAAAAGGTTTTATACTGGACTGTCATTTTAAAAGCAATATAGTATCCACAGTTATAAGGAAATATTCTTGATAATTAACGACATGAGCTTGTGGGATAAGAGACATTTGAGCCTACCAATAATCTGTACAGTGGAATGCCTTGCAAATTTATTTCTAAATATTCTCATCATTAAACATATCAACAGCTTGAGTTCTTAGTGTAATACTGCCCCCAGTCTTTAATCCGGGATCTGATTGACTACCTTGAGAAAATTAAGAAAGTTACTAAATTATTTTAAAATATTTATATTGATCGCCTTTATCCAAACTAATTTTCCTCATTTATAAGTTGATATATCATCTAATGATTCATGTAAGTATTTTAGAAAGATCGTATAACATATGCTGTAATTAAATAAGTTATTAATGTTCTTAATCTCTCCAAATAACCTTGCAATCTAGTCGCATGCATGTTTTCTTGTAAGCAGAAGATTGTAATTCCAAGATGTCAGTTCCCACCCCTCTAAATGAAGAAAACATAGAGATGGGAAAAAAATGTGATATCAGATCTTTACATCTGTTGTGAATTTGTGTTATTTCTTGTGTCTCTTTGTATACGCTATACACATTTATTTGCGTAAATACAAGAAGACAAAGGATTGTTGCCCAACGATTACACCTCTGAAGTCTCATATCCTGCTGATATCACGACCAAATACAAGAGTTGTAGCCCAGTTGATTGCCACATAGAATCTGTTTCTCCAGCTCACAACACGCGTAAGATAGGCTGATCGCCAAATGAACCAACTGACAAATCCTGCCAGTGATATACCTTTTGCCTCCTGCAACACAATTTTTAAATGATTCAGACTCTTTTAGTTTTAAAATCATCAGGACAAAGCTAGAAATGAACAGACGGTTGAATGGAGCAGAAAGAATTCAATTCTCCTAAGCAAAGTCTTAGATTCAATCCTTCTAGATGGGAAAGAAACAATGTTGGCCTGTTTGTTTAAGATTAAAAAGAAGTTAGTTTCAGATTATTTAGAAGAGCGATGGTTGTTTGGCTCAACTCATAAAATCATTACACAATAAAGAACATAAAAAAGAACATTATAAGAAAGTGATTATTGTTAAAAGCTAATCTAAGTTTTTTTTAATCTTCAAAAACCAAAAACAGATTTTTCTTCTTTGAAAGTGGTTATTTTAAGAAACTTAAACAAACAAATATCTCATGTGTTTGGCTTAATTAAAATAACTTTATTAAGCTTAAATAAATAGGCTCTCAGTAGTACCGGATACTAGACAGTTACGAAAATAATAACAATAATAAATAAATAAATAAAAAGATCACCTTGCTCTGTCTAAGGTCCACGAGAGCCTTGTAGCTGCCGACAGATGCCATGCTTCCAAGGTGCTTGTAGACAAATGGTTCTCCCAAATCAATGTCTTTTGCACTGTTTGCTCTCCCTCCTCCTGCTTTCCCAATTTTGTTTAGGAGGTCTGCTAAGTATTTCCCTTGCCTCTCAGCCACCTTTCATTTCCAATAAACAACACATTACATGGCTAGAAGATAACTTGTGGCCAGATCCTCTACTATGTGAATAGTAGACACAAAACTCTGGCCCTATACCCAACCATATTCTCCCCCTCCAAATACACGTTCCAAATTCACTTTGTGAATGGAGAGGATCCAAAGCCGATGTCTTAACAGTGATGCGGAAACAAGCAATAGTTTGTCAACCATGAGCAGTTATGTTACTGCTAAGTTGAATGGAACACATGCACAATTAAATGTGTCCCACATCTTAAATCCAAAACCGACTCATATTATGAACAGAGAAATTTAAGGAATGCGGGCTTGTATTGAAGAAAGCATAAAACCAAATATCACTTACTTGGGCCAAGGCTGGAAGTGTTTGTCTTCCTGTACTTTCTACAAATCCACTGCAGTCGCCTATTGAGAAAACATCTTGCACTGAAGGAACACGAAGCCATTCGTCAACACCAATCCTGTGAAGACAGAACTTTATTTGGTACAATTTCCTATTCTAATATTGTAGTGACATCACAAAAGAGAACACAAAAGCAAAGGAAAGGGCATTTCAACAGAATAACAAGAAAGAAAAACAATTGAAAGGAAATCCAACACAAAAGAAAAACCGAATAGGAAACTAATCGGTGGCATCATGGACAGGGGAAAATATATGTCTACTATTCACATACATAATACATACAATGGTTTGATTGTCACTGAAAATGATATGTAAATATGCTAAATAACAACACTTACCTTCCTCCACCAGGAGCTTTGGGAAGATCTAAAGCGTGAATAAGAGGTGACGGTCCAACGCCAGTAGACCATACCAGCAAACCATATGGAACCTCAGTGCCATCATTAAGGATAATACTCTGATCTTGAACATCTTTCACAGTACCACGGACAAGACGAACTCCTGACTGAGAGAAACTACAAAAAATCAATCATAAATATATATAATACCCCAGCTGAAGGCCTAAAGCTGTGATAAAAAGTTGAAAAGTATTGCACATCATGTGAAAGACCCTAAACGCCTTTCCATGAAAGAGGCTATTTTAATTATTTTTAGTCTATTACTACCCCATGTACTTCATCATTTGACGTGAAAACCCAAGTAAAACCCACTTTTCCCTTCCATGTGACAATAAACAGTTCAATATGGTCTGGATTTTTTGGGCATATAGAAACAAGCCTTTTAACAAATACCTCACCTTTGTCAACTGCTTGGTAGCATAATTCCTGAGACGGACATCAAAGGAAGACAATATCTCATTTGCCTGTGAAGACATGAATGAATTGCTTAACAATCAAATAGTTCAAAAAGACAACTTTTTTACAGCAATAAAGTGGCAATTAAGTTCCATTAAAAACGGGGTCCAGAAAATGTAGGGATTCCCCATGGCAAATATATTCTATTTACTAATTAGTTATGCATAGATTTAGTGATACGTACCTCAATTAAAGTAACATGGATGTAATCCTTAACATGGGCATATCTTTGACGGACATCTCTCATGATAAAATCACTAAGTTCACCACTGAATTCAACTCCAGTGGGACCACCTCCCACAACCACACAGTGCAAAAGCCTTCGCTTTTCCTCTTCTGAAACGCCTGCATCCAAATCATATAAAAATGAGAAGCTTGTAGCAGAGCCTTTCATGATATGACTTTATATTTAGCCAGTGTAGTAACATTATCATTACCAACCTGGCACATCAGATAACATCAAGTTAAGAAGCAACTTCCTGCGAATTTCCTGAGCATGGTGAACTTCACGAAGAAAAATTGCATGTTCTTTGACTCCATGAATTCCAAAGGTGGTGGGCTGTGCTCCTAATGCAATTACAAGCTTATCATATGAGACCGTGAAACTCCAAGGATCTAGGGCTTGTTCACCATCAGTTACAGTCTCACAATGAACCTTCAAAACCAAGAACCAAATTTTACACAGGTCAGAAACTGTAAGTAGTGAAGTTCAAACTAATTCAAGAATCATGTTTTCAACTTTTTCAAATATTTTGTTCTAAAGTGGAACCAGATAACCAGAAGGGTATATTTGGGGTGGGGGTGCGTGATAGAAAAGGAGTTTTTGTTTCATTTTTTGCTTTCCACACTTCATTTGGAAGTTCAATCTAATGGGGAAAAGAAAAACATGTTTCTTTACCAGTTGTAGTGTTGACATTCAATTCCATGCGCCATAAACATAGTTTGTAATCCTAAAGTTGCTAGATAATGCATGTCATGCTATCCATCGTGAAGCATCTATTATGTAGTTTTTATCGATGGTCACACAAATAACAAGAAGAGCCTTTGCTAAACTTTAGGGTGCAAAGTTGGGTGACGGAAAGCCTCACATATCAATCCTTGGCAACATATGGGAAGGACAAGGTTATATGATCTATAAATAGGCCAAGCAGGTCAATAATCAAGTCACCAAATCATGATCAACTTTCCTATAATACTTAACCAATTCATTGAGTCGGAAAAAATTTTCTACAACAAATAGTATCTCGTTAGCTCATCTTAAAGTCAACGTATACAACAGAGACACGGTCAAAAGATATTTATGCCCACATATGCTTATCTTCCCCCAACCAGGAAGTCAATTTCCAAATGCATTCATTGAGCAACCTCAATCCAACAAATTCTTTGGAGACTGACTTCTCAACATATGCAACCAAATTAGCATTTCCAACAGATGTAAAAGCGCACTCTTCTAATCCATTCTCTTCATGTACAAATATAGAAAATAGACAAAAATTAAGGCAAAAGTGAGCAAACCATGTGCTTATCTGCGCTAATTCCAGTACAATTGGAAAGGAAGAAATAGGAACCAGGCTCCCTAGAAATAGCAGGTTGGATCCTCGCAATGGGTTCAGCAACAGATCTAAATTCCAGAGTTCCAACGCACGTGGAAGCCAACAGAGGCGTGAAGACCATATGGTTTCGAGGTGAGACGCAAACAATGTCATAGATTTCAGGGTCCAACCCCTTCATTAGCCTGCATCCAGCCCACCCAGAACCCAGCACTACCACTCGCGGCTTCTCATGGGGCTTGGCAGGTCCCAAACCCGAATACTGAACCGGCTCAACCGACGGTTTTTCTACAGTGGGATCAGTATTGATGTTGGAACTGAAAAGTTTGAAAGAAGATAGAAGAAATGGGTCTTGTCTCCGGGATACGTTAATGGCAGAAAATCTTGCAAGATTTCTGAACCAAGCCATGTTGAATTGTGTTTTGGGTAAACTTGGATGTGGGAATGGATCAGGAGGGATGCATCAGAGAATTGAAACCGAAGAAGAAGAAGAAGAAAGAAGGGAAGGAAAGCGAGAGAGAAGGTCCAAGTCTCCAGGAGGTGCGGGTGTTGATGAGTTTGACTTGGTGAGCAATGCATCCCATGAGGATTAGGCGAGTCCGTTGCTGACATGGGAACCTCGGCCTTTGACATTTGGCCATTGGCTTGGCTTCTTTGTCGTATTTGACCTTCTAGGTGGTCATTAAATATTTGAAGAAAGATATGAGGCCACTTTAATATGACTTTATATTTTTAGGGGAAAAAAATATAACTTTTGGACTCTAAAACTTTCACTAATTATTAATATAATTTTTGAACTTTGGTTCGGAAAACCTGAGCTCACATAATTTTTTAATTACTGAGATCTTGTAACCCAATAACACCGAATGTTTTTTAAGACTTTTTTAAATATGAAGTTAGTCTGAAACCTTTAAAAGAAGTATAATAAGTGATTGAATTATGACCCAAAAAAAAAGTTTTTAAATTGAAAACAACTCAGCTTTTAAGTTTTACTCGTTACAACTCAATTTTTATAATTCTTTCACATAATAAATCGTAAAAATTGTCATAACTAAAAATTTAGAAACTAAATCAATAATATAAAAAAGTTTAAATATCAGAAATGATATGATTCCCAAATTTTATATCGTATATCAGCCTACAGAGGAGACATGGTCCTTGTCTTGCGTAGATCTTGAAGAGCCTATGTGAAAAAATGACATGGTATTATTTATTTAAAGGAATCATGAAAATTGTTACTATAACCATCTAAAAATACCCATTAGAGCTTAAAAGGTTTTATTGCTCATAATCTCGCTGAAAGTGGGTTTTAGTTTTATCAATGAGTTGTACATAAAGTACAAATAAATAAATAAGATATTTCATGTGTTCAACTTCTCTACTATGATTCACTTTACATTTTCTCATAGATGGTGTCCATGATCATGGGGCTTTCCCCACAATTTTTGCGGATGAGAGTTATCACTTAACATCCATCATTCACCATTTTGTGCTTGGAATAGCTTTCAAAGAACTGATTAATTTTTTTAAAAAATAAAGTGACCTCATCGATTTTGTTTTAAAAAAAAAAAAACACGTTTGCACTGTGACTTTGGAGAGCATCAAAACAAGTGCTCTAAATATTCTTGCATTAAATGGTCATTTGACATTAGTAAAAATAATAATAATAACAACAATCATAATAAATAATAAAAATGGGAGATTGGAGCTCCCTCCCAAAAATTTTCTGCAAAAACTTTTTTGAACATGCAGCTGAGAAAGCTACACACCAGAACAAAAAGGCTAATAACAAGGCTAATTGTTGTTATTACAAAAAGGTTACTAATTTCCTGTTCTTGGTCACCAGCATTTGAACAATGTTCAAGCAAGGAGCCACAGACACAAGTCAGCTTGCTAACAGTTCATATCATGCATCAGATAAATGTATACATACCCTTTCCTTTCTGACATCCATACGTTTATCTCAGAAAGCTGTCTTAATAATAAGATACAGACATATCAAGAATCCAGCATCATCTTCATCATCGTTTCTTAAAACCATACTTTTTACGTTCATAAAACAGATCAGTTTTGGCACTCCCTAAATTCACAATTTTAGGGCATCCGTCCCTATCTTTCTCTTGTTGTGTACACTCCTTGCAGTAGTAAGCATCAGAGATTCCTACTCCTCCACATATGACACAACGACCTTGAAATGAGCCGTAGTTGCACTCATCGCAGACCCGGACAAGCGTACAAGGACGAACATAAGAATCACAGATCACACACTTGCCATCACATTTCTCGCAAAGTCGTCCAATCGCAATTCCTGGCTGCTTCCTGCACATAATCAAATCAGGATGGTGCTTGGCCATGTTTTCAACAACCTCCTAAATGCTGGGCTGTATACAGAAGGCCTGCAAGGATATTTCAAAGTTGAATAAAATGGTAAGTGAATGAGTTAAGTGTCATTCTTCTAGAAGAAGTGATTTGCAATGAGAAGTCAAGACATAGACAGTATCAAGGCAAAGACTGGAAAACCCTCCAGTGTATGACTAGTAATTACAGATCCCCAAGATTATAAAAAGCAAAACATAAAAAGGCCGCAAAGTAGATCAGACTCTTAGGCTGAAGCACTAATTAAAACACCCTCCCTTGCTTTTTGCATCAATCAAGTAACTGGTACAGTTATAAAGAGAATGTTGTTATAGAAAAATGCTCAGTTCAGACAGGTGGCTTGACTATCTTCAATGTTCAAACCATCAAATTAGAAAACCTCAAATTTCCCTGATTATATCCTATATGATGGATTTGCTATAAAAAATTGTTATCGTAAACAATGACGCTGTAAGCAAGGCCTAACTTCTTTCCTATTGACATTCAGCCACAGACTAGACTAATCCTTGTACGAGCGTTCTTTTGGCCAGAACTTCTAATAGCATGTTGAAAAATCATAAATATCAAAGCCTACAAACCTTCTAGCCGGACTTCACCAAACAATTATAGAATATAGGAAGCTGTAAAATTTACACCATATGATCATCAAGAGACCTGAACCTATATAAAACGCGGCCAGAAATAAGATACACCTGAGACTAATCGCCCATCATTAGTTTAATCACTGGCGTTAGCGTGCCAATGTCATTTCAATTGTTTCACACATACCCTAGTCCCCACATAACCGTTGAGATAGTCTGGCATAAATAATTCCAAGCAACAACCTTCACACATTTATCATGCTGTGCCATCTTCAATAACTATCAGGTTATATCTCCTGTTAATATCCTCAACTGAGTTCATGAATAGCAAATTTGTCTTTGATCGTTTATGCACGCACGTCATATCTCAATGCCTTCCGTGAAAATTTATGTTCTAACATGTTTAGTCTCAATTAAGTATTTTTTATAATTCAATTGCCTAAAATATAATTTACTAACAAAGAAAGTATCAAGGGGCTCACATTTTCTTCTTCAACACTATCACCAGCATACACTTCACTTTCATAACCTTGGATACTAAAGTCATTGTTTAAACTACTTGAACCTTCATGACTCTAATCATAATCGCCTATTACCTTGCCTCATATAGTTAAACATGCGCCATAAAGAAATCACATTATAACATTAACTAACTACATCAACTTACCCATGCCACCAAAAGCATCCATTTGCTTCACACTTTATATGTTGCACATTATGAGAACCAAAATGAATCATCATGTAACTTTATATTCGGTTAAATCAGAGCATAGTTAGATCAACCCAGGTATTTTCAATCACATTCAGTAATACAAGCACCCATTAACAACAAGCACATGAATTAGGGAGGCTACAAAGCTTTATGAAGATGCTCACTTAAACAATTCCCAAAAAAAAGAAAAGGGGCACCCATTACCACCAAGCTAGACATAAAGAAATCACATTATAACATCAGCTAACTACATCAACTTACCCATGCCACCAAAAGCATCCATTTACTTCACACCTTATATGTTGCACATTATGAGAACCAAAATGAATCATCATATAACTTTATAGTCGGTTAAATTAGAGCATAATTAGATCAACCCAGGTATTTTCAATCACATTCAGTAATACAAGCACACATTAACAACAACCACATGAATTAGGGAGGCTACAAAGCTTTATGAAGATGCTCACTTAAACAATTCCCCAAAAAAAAAAGGGCACCCATTACCACCAAGCTACAAATATCAACTAGGATATATGAAATCAACTATTGCTTCTGGTGGGCCCTAATATACTACTTATATGATTTCCCCCGCGACCAAAAAATTTTCTCACTTACCAATACTTTTTTGAATAGTCGTTCAGCACCTTTTTGTTTTGTCTAGATTCATACATGTTCTTTAGATTCGCGTCACCCAAATAGCATGCGTCTTGCACTTCTTAAAGAGCTAAAATGCATCGGCCTTATACTTCCTCCAAACATGATTTCCTGGTTCTTGACATTTTTCATATTCTTAGTTCTCAATCTCTAGCTCTCACCCTACATTGCGTTTCTCAGGTATAATCCCATTTACGAAACTCCTAAAAAATTCATTGTCATTTTATTTAACTAAAAGTAGCACTGATAAGGATGCCAAATAAGCAAATTTTAACATTGTTAATTGTTGTTAGCACCACATAGAATGAGTTATAAGGGACTTAACTGTTTTCTAGAAAATGGGGATGGATAGCGATAAGAAACAAAAAACCTCTAAGGAGTTGAACTATAAGGGATGGTGATAAAAACGAAAACTTTAAGAATTGAGTGGCGAGAGTCAAGCTAAATCTCCGTGAAACTATGATCAAATGGTTAATTTTCCTAATAACAATTCATGAACTTCTTCAAACTGACAACGGTGCAGACTGCAGTCACAACAAGTGAAACAGAACGCCACGTTTAGCCTACATTTGTGAACACTTCATCAAAATTTCACAAGAATTATTCAACCCAGGAAAAAGGGAAGACATTTCAAAATTATAATAGGAAGTTATAATTGAAGGTATAGCAAATTTATGTTTTAGTCACTCATTTTTAGTCCTATTTCTCTCCTCTCAGTTACTACCCAATACATTCAGTCATCCTATTTAACTTAAAGATTTCTATCTTACTTGAAGGAAAATCAACAAACTTTTGCATTTACCTAAATTACATTCGAAATAGAAATGAAGAGAGACTGAAAATGAAAAAGAAAAAGAAAAAGAAAACAAAGCAAGAAATAAGGCAATTAGCAGGAACGGGTAGCAAATTCACGGTGCATACAATTCAAACCGTTCTGAAGAATTTCAACAGGAAATCAAACAAAATAATAACAAGAACAGAGCGAGAACAAAGAGTTAGAGAATAATGCGGAGTTAAGAAAACCAACCTGTACTGCGAAGGAGAAGGGGAAGAGTGTCGGTCGGCGGATATATCGAGTATACTTCGACCAACGGCGGACGATGGTGCGAACTGGGAGGAGAGGGAAGCTAAGGAGCGAAGGTCCGCACTCCGCAGAAAAGAACCTGAGAAAGAAGCGGGCAGAAATGTAAAGAAGCGTCTGAGAATGATCCAGACTCATCTATGTTGGGCCTAATGGGCTTTGGATTTTGTATTGGGCCGCACTGACAACTCAAGTTTTGTTTATTAGCTAATATTGATATCGAAAGGGAAAAAAAACTTCTAATTAGGATTGTTTATGAGCTGTTTTTTTTTTTCTGATTTATTTTGGTTCAAAACCAAAGCTAACCAAGACAATTAATTTTAGTAGAAAATTCTTGTCTTTTTTATAGGAATCAGTTTTGGGTTTATATTGAGTTATCTTTTTTGTATCAAAAATTGATTATTACAACGAGTAAATCATTATATTTGTTCCTTTTTCGGGTAAAAATGAACATTTCATCTGTGGAATCATCAAGTATTTACAAGGAGGTTTGAGCATAATTCAAAACTATTTTTTTAATTAAAAGTGAATTCTCGAAACTTAAATGGAGTTACAAAAGTCTCAAGAATATTTCTTCAGCAGCCATCTACTAGGAAGGAGGTGAGGTTAATTAATCAAAGATGAAAAAATAGTTGTCAAGCCTATGAAAAAAAGGTTACCTAAACATGTGTTTGGTTTCACAATTTTAGCAGAAAACATGCATTGGAATGAGGTAAATGTAGGTTGTTGGCAGGTGGAGACTTGAAAAAAATATTTGGCTCAGCTTTTTTTCATATGAATTTTGAGTCAAAAGCTACTTCAATGCTGAAACTAATTTGAGAAGTTTTTGCGTACACAATGCGGAAAGAGAGAGAAAAAGGCAATAAAGATAAAATAAAATTACTCCTAAAAAACTTCAATACTACCTCCGGTTCTAATTATAAGACCTAGTTGACTAATTTGAGAAGATTAAAAAAGTAAATTAAGTTAGTTATTTGTAATAAATAAGTATTGTCATTCCTAAAATATCCTTGCTAATTAAGTATATTGGCTAGAAATATCATTATTAGAAGAATTATCTTAGAAAAAAATGCATAAATATAAGAAACAAAATAGATTGGAGTCTTATAATTAGGACCAAACTAAAAATCAAACGGGGTCTTATATTAATGATCGGAAGTAGTAATTTGATATTACATGTCCTTGATACTCAAAACTTAATGAAGCCACAAAAATCTCAAGAATCTTTCATGAGCCACCACCTACTAAAAAGAATGGAATGTTAATCAAAGATGTAAAAGTAATCGTTAAGGCTATGGAAAAGTTTAGCTAAATAGCCCCACTCTTTGATGTGTTTTTTTGGTCAACTTAGCATTAGTTATCACATCTCCCAAAGGGTGCTCATCATTATTGCAGCCCCTAGTTGACAAACAGCTTGTTGTATTTTTGCCACCCGTATGTTCCAATAGGCAAACCCGAATTAAGTAGCTCATAGTTAGGAGTGGAAACAGGACAGGCCAGGCCAGGCTTTGCTCTTAACAAGTCAGGCCTGTTTTGGAGCCTATTGGCCTGAGCCTGGCCTGTGGCCTGTTACAGGCTTACTTTTCAGCCTGAGCCTGGCCTGGCCTGAAGCCTGTTAAAAGGCCTGTATTTTTAAAAAATTCAAATTATAATAATTAATTTTTTTAAAAAAGCTAAGATAAAAAAAACGTACATAATAATTTAATTTTTAGTCTTGTCTTTTATTTAAATTTTAGTATCATAAGTACTATTTTAAATCTTAATTATAATTTATAAGAATATTATTGAAAACTAATTGTAATTATATGTTAAAATTTGGAATAAGACTACGTTTAAGTACACACAAAAAATTAAAATTAAGACAAATAAATAAAGAGGAAAAAAATACTAATTTTATAATGAATAAAGAGGGTATCATACTTAAATTAACATAATACGTAAGTTAGTTAATTTATCATTCTTGGAACAAAATTTTTCTTTCCTATTTTCTTTATATTTTTACGATTTAAAAATCACATTATTTATTGATATTATTATTTTAAATTATATTTTTATCTTCACTTGTCATCTAAACTTCAAAATCTAAGAAAAAATTAAGCTATTAACTATATATTAAAATTAAAAAATAAATTAAAAGAGTACATTAACAATAATAGCATTAATTAATTTTTTCATATATTATGATTATAAATTCCTGACAGGCCCAGGCCGGCCTAACAGGCTTTTTAAAAAGCCTAAGTCTGGCCTGTTTAACTAAACAGGCCTTCAAACAGGCCTGAGCCTGTCTTTTTTGGAAAACAGGCCAGGCCAAATGCAGGTCAGGCCATAGGCACCTGAGAGGCCGCCTGGTCTATTTCCACCCCTACTCATGGTATCTTCCTCACTTGGTTTTTCCCTATTAATGTCATTTCTCTTACAAATTAATAAATTACAAGTGTGAAAACAATATCTGTAGTTAAAAAAAACCTATAATGATCAGATAAAAAACTATAAAAATTTAATTAAAATGAGATAAAGCTACATGACTTGCATATTAATTTAAGAAAATAAAGCGACAAGAACGTTTTGGCCGAAAAACAAAGTGACAAGAACATTGGAAAACCCGCAGCAAGTTGAGCGATATTTTTTAATAAGCGGGGCAGCCTCTGCTGAAATTTGAAACTGTACTGTTGTCACACCTAACGGTCATAATTTTTTTTAATAACTAAAACATATTTCTCCTTCTATTAAAGACAATCATATTCGAGGTATTGTCGGGTACTAAATGTGAGTACCTCTCCCAGCAGGAATTTAAACCTTGATTTGTCACGTTGTGAGAAACTAGCCTTTTCTGCTAGACCCAATCCCTCTTGGTTACGGTCATAAATTTTCATTCCCTCTTGAGAAGTCCGTCTGAAAGAAAAAGGATCCAAAAACATGAATAAAGTGAAACAGTTTATGGAGGCCCATTACAGGTACACCTTTAGTTGATATATTGGGCCTCATGTTGGAAACATGTCATGAGGCCCACATGGACCCGCATCACTCAACTTGGACTTGACTTCGTTCTTGTAACAACCCCCAGCATATTGTAATTTTGTAAAGTCATAATAATTATACCAACAAGAGTTGAACCAATTGGTAAAGAATTGACTCATTACTTATAAAATATTGAGTTTGAATCCTATTGCTGAAGTAAAAATTTTGTTGGCAGACGATCTGTAAGTATCCCTCCCTATATGAGAGATACCTCAACTTAGTACCTGACAGTACTTCAAATAGAAATGTTTCTAATAGAAGGATACATGTGCTTAGCAAGAAAAAATAATTATACGACCCTTAATTTTTACAGTAAGTTAAATTAAATACTGCTATTTCTGGTCCTTAATATAAGCGCTAGTTAACTAATTTGAGTAGATTAAAAAAGTTTGTTAAGTTGGTTATTTGAAATAAATAAATACTCTTACTAATTATATATATTAGCTAAAACTACTATTTAATAAAATTTTTAACGTGTGCAACTACTGCTTTGAAAAAAAAATGGATAAATATAATAGACAAAGTATATTAAAATTTTATATTTAGAACCAAATTGAAAGTTAAACCAGCTCTTATATTAAAAAAAAAAAGAATAGTATATGAGATAAATAATAAAGATTCAGTTACCATACATATCACCATATGCAATGAATGATTTTGATCTTCAATCCTCCATTTACTTAGATCCCTAGAATGCAACTTGAACAAAAATACAAGATATACATGTGAAGAGTCGACTAAATGTTTAGACTGTGCACTTCAATTTTTATTTTCTATTAAAAAAAATATTAGGTGAGTTCGGTCTTAAAGAATTGTCAAAACCAATTCATGTTTTTAAATTCAAAAAGTGTTTATAAAGGTATGTATAAGTCCCTCATCAACCAAATTCTCACATCATTAGTAAGATTTAAGCCCACAATTTTATGAAATATGAGTAAATTTCTTACTAATCAAACTCATATTTGTTAGCTGGCCGTACGCATTGCTAAGAGTGAAGCTAACATGCTAACAATGATCCAAATCTCTCCATATGCTTGGCTGAAAAATTCTTTACTTTGAATAAACCTTGTGCGGAATTTCAAAATCAAAGAAACACATTTACTTTTTAAATTTTAATTTATATGCTATTCTAGTTAATAAAATAACAAATACATTAATTAATGGAAGGATGACAAACAAAAATCTTGAAAATTGCCAATTTTCAAATCAGGATTCATCGCCACACCGTAAGTTTTCACAACACTTGACTTGCAAATAACAATACATTCTTTTACGAATAATACATGATCTGGAATTTTATAATTTTCATAGTGTTTTTTTCTCAATATTTTTTATTAATTAATTTTTTTTGCCATCATTTTGACTAATGAGTAATGACCGTAATTTGACCCACATTTATATTTAGAAGAAAAAGACATTAGCTGGTTCAATGCACCGATGCACACATTAAAAATGCATCTGCCTCCACTGTAAAAGAATATAATACCAACAAAACTCTTGATTCTCGAAACCGCCGCCTCTCTCTCATATATCAGAATGACCCACTTGGACTCTTACCCTCCGGCTCTCCGCCACCAGATAAGCCACCACTCTGACGACCACCACCGGCACCACCGTGAGGAACCAGACGTGGACACAATCCCCACCGATTCGCATGCCGTGCCGGTGATAGATCTCGAACGCTTATTGAACGAAGATTATGAAATGACGGAGAAGCTAGACGAGGCTTGCAGGGATTGGGGGATATTCCGGTTAGCCAATCACGGAGTTCCGTTAACCCTGTTATCCAAACTTCACGACCTAGCCAAACAGCTACTTTGCATGCCCTTTGAATCCAAACAAGCCTCCTGTGATGGTAGCCCCGTGGTTTACTTCTGGGGCAACCCTGCCCTAACCGGATCCGGGACAGGCGTATCCGGAGACCCAAGCAAGATCAATTTATTTGAAGGCTTCAATGTCCCTTTAGCACAGCTCCATGAGTTTCACCCTCAGCTTCCTCTGCTTGAGTCTTTCAGGTAAGCATGCTACGTCCTATAGTAGTTTTGTAAATAAAACGCTTGTAGGATAAAATAAATTTTTATAATTACGATAAGAAGTGCTATAGCACTTCTTTAAAAAAATACTAGTATATATTTTAAATATTGTAGTGATTGATAAAAATTTCCGAAGTCTGGCAAAAGAGAAATTTAAAATTTTCAAAGAGACAAAGTTTGGAGGGTTAAAGTTGATTGGGTTTTTTTTCACATAAGGTGATAGATTTTTTTTTTAATAAAAGCTTAGGTATTCTCCTATTAGAAGTAGTTCTTTCTGAGGCACTTTTAGGTACTAAATATAGATATATCTCCCAGTGGGAATTCAAAGCATTGTTCACCACGTTATAAAAGACTAGTCGTTTTTGCTAGACCCAACCCTTGATAGTGATAGATTTATTTTTATACTAGAAGGGATATCCTCTTAAGAGTACATTTTTTAATTAAATTTACTTTTATTGTAGATATAATTATTTCCTTCAGTCTTAAATATGCTACCTAATTGAACAATTTTCTCTAATTATAAATATACGTATACCACTCTAATCTTAAAAATTTTAAAACTTATTTTTTGTCTAAAAATTTAATAAATTTCTAACTTTGCCTGTACTAATAAGGTGCAAGAAGTTTTTTTTTTAATGAGAGGTAAAAGAGTAAGCAATCATAAAAAGTAATGCCTTATAATTCTCGCTCTCTCTCTCATTTTAAAAATATAGTTTGGTTGGCAAAAAAAAATATAAATAGAGTTGGATACTCATTTAAGATCATGAAACATTATAGAGTATTATTTATATAATTGGAGTACATAAATTAATACAGAAAGTTTTTAGTGATCACGGGCGTTCCTTAAACCTATAAACGGGGTCTGTCCTAGCGGACAGCCGCATCAATTTCTACGATGATTGTCAATTTTGCCATTTATTGCCCGTCACTGAAATATAGCAAGAAAAAGAATGGACAAAATGGGATACTCCTCTTATGCTATTTACAAAACATTAGTAAAGTTTCACACGTCAACAAAAATTTTAAATTGTATTGACTATCTCTTAAAATATAATAATATTTTAATTTATTTTTAGTTAATATGTAGATATTTTAAATAAATAATTATTAAAATAGTATATTTATGTTAAAAATATAATGAAATAATTTATAAATAAGATCAAGAAAAATCTATTCTTTCTGCTTTATAAATAGGATCAGATAAGGAGTATAAGGCTGAACGCTATATTTGAGTGATGATAATGGAATTGGAAGAGCAATTGAAAGGTTTTATTGGTAAGAAAAAATGCAATGTAATTTTATTTTGGGCAACGCAAAAAAAAAAAAAAAAAGCGATGCAATTATTTGGTTCCCGAAGAAATTCATTTATCTATCACTTTTTTTACTCATCGATGACCATGCATTAACCATTTGTTAACAAACATGATAAAACGGAATTAATCTATTAAAAAGATTTAGATTCATTGAAACTTTATTTTTTATTATTCTATTGTATTTTTATTCCGCCAAACATAAGAATAAAAATGTTGCTGTCCTATTTTAAACATATACCATACAAGTTACAAACAACATATATACTAGTATATACTATTTCATTCATCATTCTCATTCTATTTTCCGTCGATGCACTTCATCATAAAAACAAATATGCATTATTATACAATAAAAGTCTAAAAAATTTATACCATAAAATTTTTTTAAGACTATTGCTCAAAGTTAATAATATATGAAACTTGCTTTAAATGTATCATTTTGATGAAAATATTAAAAAAAATAGTTATAAGACAGTAAATTCAATTTTTTTTTTAAAAAAATAATAATTTGATTTTTTTTACCAAAATTAAGTCTGGGTTTTAAAAATATTATTGATATTAATATATTGCACAAAGTGAAACCTAATTTTGAAATTTTTATGTATCCTTAATATAAAATCCACTTGACTAATTTAGAGAGATTAAGAAAGTTACTAAATCACTTTAAATTATATTTATCATTCTTTTTCCAAACTAATTTGGCTCACTTGTAAATTGATATATAATCTAATGATACACATAAGTACTTTAGACAGATCATGTAACATATGCTATAGTTAAGCAATTTAGTAACTTCATTAATCTCCACAAATTAATTAATTTGGTCTTATATATATTATAGAGGGTATTTGGGTGAAGCAAAACCATAGTTTTAAAAGTACTTTTATGATATATGAAATAAATATATGAAATAGTTTGTTTCGATTTGTAGAAAAGTACTTTTTAAAAATACTTTTCGGAGAATCCAAATACCCTCTAAGTACGTAATATACTATTTACTTGGTGAATGAGTTTCATTGATTGTGGGAATATGCCTACCAGAGATGCGCTAGTAGACTATGGAAGGCACCTATCAAGAATCGTTAAATCTTTGTTCGAAGCAATGGTGAAGAAGCTGAGTCTGAGAATAGAGAAGCCAGAAATAAGCTCGTATGTGGCAGACAAGACTGGGTTTATACGAGTGTATCGTTATCCTCGAAACCCTAAATATTCAAATAACAACAATGGTGGTTGTTGGGGAATGGAACCTCACACAGATAGCTCTGTGCTGTCCATTCTCAGCCTTCATGCTCAAGATTCTGGACTTGAAGTCCTCAGAGATCATCAATGGCTTCCTGTTCAATCCATTCCCAATACTCTCACTGTCAACATTGGCGACATGATGCAGGTAATATAATGTTTCTGATGAAATGGTATATATAGTTAATATAATTTGATTACGTTTAATTTAATTTGACACGTACAATGTTCATTCTAGATTGATTATTTCATATGTCTTAGATAGATTGATCTTGTATATAAATCCTCATATGCTAAAATGAATAGACACACATGCATAATGCATGCAGCATACATATTTTACTCTCAATTATTATGTTCTTCCTGGTGCCTCTTGCATGCTCTTTATTGTGGTTTAATTTTTGTTAGTTTTCTATTAATATCTGTTTAAATTGACCTATCACGTCTATTGAAATTAGGGAAAATTTCTGGAAAATCTCACATTATAAAATATATTGCTGAAAGGTACTAGAGGGCTCGAGTACTTGCTTGAGTGGGTGCAACTCATTCATATATTCAGTCATACTATCTGTAATTCTTAATATAAGAGCTAGATAACTAATTTGAGAAGATTAAGAAAATTAGTTAAGTTGGTTAATTGTAACAAATGTCTTGACTATTTAAACTACCCTCTCTAATCATTTGCTCCTTTGGTCCTAAATATAAAACCCTTATACTAGTGTGTATAATGATCTTATATTTAAGACCGAAGAAATATATTGGAATCATCTCTTGGTGAGAACCTGCCCTTTACAATCAATACTTAATAGGGGTACTTTAGAAAAAAAGTTATAAATTTGAAAAACAAAAGTGAATTAAAATCTTATATTTAGGACTAAACATATCTCCTAACTAGTTCTTATATAAGTATAAGAAGTAATATGTGAATGTCTTTTGTTTTGCATATAGTTGAAAATGAATTATACACATATGAAGAAAAGTTGCACTAGATAAAAGAATTTGTATGTGGCTTTTTTTCCCCAAAAATTCAGATGCTTTGGCAATAAATTTCATAATGTAAGATTTTTCAGCAATTTTTCCTTGAAGTTATTGCCATTTATCCTAAATTGATTGATTTTGTATTTATTAGGGTCTCATTTTTTTAGTCTTTGTATGTTGAATGTCATCTTGTTAATTAATTATTAGTTTTCCCTCTCCAAACTAACTCCATCGATCCCTTTATTATCTAATTCTAATAATGATCCTAATGCTTGGAATCTGATCATTGATTTGATATAAACGACACAGGCGATAAGTGATGAGAGATACAAGAGTGCATTGCACAGAGTGAAGATAAACGAAGAGAAAGAGAGAATGTCGATATGTTACTTCGTGTTCCCACACGATGAGGTGGTCATACAGAGTTCCCAATATAAGCCCTTCACGTACAGTGATTTCAGAGCACAAGTTGAAGACGACATCAAAACCATTGGCCACAAAGTTGGACTCCCCAGATTTCACTACTCTCACAAATGATACACCCTCAAGAATCTAATACTCTTTTTGTCTTAAATATAAGACTTATTTTGTAATGCGAATTGTACTAGAAAATAGATTTTATGTTTAGAATCAGAAGAGTATATAGTTATCATTTTGTGGTCTGGTAGTATAGAGACTCCTCTATATGAAAGGTTGTAAGTTTAATTTCACTGTAAAATTAGGCTATTAGTGTCTGCCATTCTGTTTTTTTTAAAAAATAAAAATCTAACGTAATCCGCCCATAGACATTATGCTATAAGAGTTTGAATTCAATATATGAATCTATAATATTTAAACAAGATTATAATAACTTTTTAAATTATGAGGCTTGTTCAAGAACTGATGAAGAGTTCTTGAGACTCATCAATGGTGTGGGCTAAGAACTTTTAGATTACGGGGCTTTTGAATGAGTAGGCTAAGAAAAGAAAGGGTTAATTGTACTGCAAACGAAGAATATATCTTTTGACGTGACAAATTGTACTGACAATATAATATCGTTATGCCTAATGTTAATGGGGTTATGTTGGCATATATAGAAATATCTCTTCTATATATATTTTTCCAAAACATGATTCTCAAAAACATATTTTATTTTCTTAAGATGTTTTAAAGTAAAATGGATAATATTTAAAATTATGAATACCGGTTTTTTTCCTTATTTTAAAAAGTGAACATAAAATTCAACTAATTAAAGTGATTCCAAAATTAAGCCAAACCAAGCATACCATGAAGCAAATGGCTCCACAGTTTTGCCCAAGTAATATTTTAGTTTGGTTTTATTCATATTTTTATTTTTCTTTTTGGTTGAATCTCTGAACACTTTTTATTAAAATATCTTTCATCTACTTTGAAATCTGAATTATTTAAGATTTATTTTATAAAATATTTTTAAAATAAATTAATGATATAAAAATATATATATTCTCTAATTATTCCAATGACAAACATATTGAGGAACTCAATATTATTTGGATAGAATAAGGATGTTAGTTAAATTAGTTAATATGCTTTTTTTTAAAACACCCTAATCATCTTTCTCAATTCTTTATCTTCTTCTCCTACTTGATTATTGTTGAATGAATATCAATAGCATTCATTTCAAGAAAAATTGATAAACATGTGAAATATGTTGTACATGTATGACCAATATCAATTATCAAATTGGGTCATACATTAAAAACCAGAGAAATACTTAAGTATCACTTGATTGTATTAATACAAGACGGTTCATTTGTTGGCGGTAGCACCTATAAAGAAACAATTAATCTGAGTCACGTCTTATGGACACTGTTCTTTAAAGCTATTTCACAATAGAAGTAAACAAGGATCCAGTGCTTCCCAAGATTAAATGAATTTTTCCTGCAAAATAGGATGAGCATAATAACAGAAGATAATAATAAACTCAACATGTAGAAGAGCACACAAAAAAGAAAGAGCGAAGAGCTTGAAAACTCTAGAGCTCTGTGTTCTGTACCTTAAATTGAAGCACCTTTTTATAGGCCTCATAATTTTTAAATGTTGGCAAGTTCTCAATCACATTAAACCGCCAATTTTAGACATTGAATGCTGTCAAGTATCTGATTGCAATATTCTGAACGTTGGAGGTAAATAGGAAATCCGCTCAATACTTTAAAATCATTATTTAATTACTCAATGCATTGAAAATGCTTGAATGGCCCGTGCAAGATTTCAAATTGTTTCAACACATTAAAAAGCTTGGTACGATTTGTTTGCCACTTTAAATCTTTTTATTGCATGATATATAAGCCCGTCGTCCGGTATTTAAAATCTTAACGCATTAAAATGATAAAAACCCATGAAGAATTTTCAAACAATTCAACTTTAAGGCATTGTAAAGTCCATTGATTGCCTTAAATTCTTCAACATTCAGTTTCTACTTTTAATGCTAATAACATGACGCTTATTCTAATAAAATTTTTCTTACCAAAATATTATTTAAATTTCAACAAAATACTTTAACAAAAAGTGCTCAATTTCTGTTTAATTCTCACATTCTCAGTTAATATGAGACTCTTTCTTTGACACACCCACACAGATATCTCAATGATCCCCACACGTGTCAAAGAAAACATCATTGGCTGAGTTACACACGAGTATGACCATTGTACTTGGTGGTCTTTTGGACTTAAAACTAGACCTAGACCAATTATACTTAGTACAAAAGTGCGGGTGGTCCTTTGGACTTAAAACCAACATCTCTTAGGTGTGTACTAGATGCACTATTAGTCAAGTTATATACCCATATTTCCATTGTTAATAGTTTCTTTGCATGTTAAACAAAGATATGCATGCCTTGTGCATAACAGATGCTTTAGAAATTTCACCACAATTTCATAGGAGTGGGCAAGTAGCCCTATTTCACATTCATAGAGGTGATTTCATTAAGTATACTTGTAATGAGCACACCATCCAGTAGGATTATGAAATCATTAAGAGCTTTCATTCAACATCACCAAAATGCATTCTAGTATTTTTTTCACATACCATAGGAACGACCTAGCAATTTATTTAGTGTAGCAGAACTAATAAACGACTTGTTCTTACCTATTAAACTTTCTTTATAGGATCACCAATCACAAATTTTTTGGATTGTCATCACTATTAATTTTGAATTGGCTTTGGTCCTATTTTTCTTGATGTTTCATTAATTTGTTTCCTCGCTAGAGGTTTTGTTAATGGATCCGCTAGGTTTCCTTCTAACCTTACATAATGAATTGAAATTACTCTATCTTTTAGTAGCTACCTCATAATATTATGTCTTAATTGAATATATATGCTTTTACCATTGAAGGTTTTATTTTTGGCTGTTGCTATTGCTGATTGGCTATCATAGCGTAAAGACATTGATAGTGTTAGTTTTTCACCCAGTGGAATGTTCGTTAAGAAGTTTGTCAACCACTCAACCTCACATCTAGCCAACTCCGTAGGAATAAACTCAAAATCCCTCAAGGACTTGGTTAGTATAGTTTGTTTGGCTGACTTCCATGTTACTACACCACCACCAAGAGTGAAAATATAGCCACTAGTAGGTTTTGTTCCATCTGAGTTTGAAACCCAGCTACCATCACTGTATCCTCTGAATACAATGGGAAATCCACTATAAAGCATATCATAATTCATGGCACTTCTCAAGTAACTCAATAGCATTAGCAAAGCCTCCCAACGCTTATTGCTTGGGCAGCAAGTATATTTGCTCAACCTACACACAGTATAAGCTATGTTAGGCCTAGTACACTAAGTGTAACAAACTCCCAATAATCTTTGCATATTTAGATTGAGCAATAGGATCTCCTTTATTTTTTGTTAAATGCACATTGGAATCATAAGGAGTACTAACCAGAGAGACATCATAATGTTCACATTTTCTCCACAATATGTTCTTGAAAAAGTAGGATACCATGTTCACTCTTTATAATTTTAACACCCGATATCACTTTTGCTTTACCCAGATCTTTCATGTCAAAATTTGAAGAGCAAGAAAATGATTTGTTTCAAGCACAATATTCTCGCCAGTACCAAAAATCAACGTGTTATCCACATACAAGCAAATAATCACACAATCACTATTTACAAGTTTTGTATAAATGCATCATTCTACCTTAATAGTAGAAAAGCCATCACCTAACAAAACTTGATCCAGCTTCTCATGTCATTATTTAGGTGTTTGTTTCAAATCATACGATAATTTAACAAGTTTGCAAACTTTGTCTTCTTGCCTAGGGTAATATCCCAATTTTTAAGTCTAGAAGTTTAAGGATTAGCCCAAGATGGATAGGTTATTAAGTCTCTTTAAGTAAAAGCCCTAGAAATGTGAGAAAAAAGTTTAAAAGTCTTTAGGGACTAAATTGTAAATTCAAAAAATTCTAGGAGCTAATGTGTAAATAAAATTAGACACTTCAGTGAAGTTTTGAGGCCCATAAGCGAGAAAAGAGATTAGTTTTGGGTCAAAAGTTATGTAAGAGGTCTCAATAAGTGATTTATGAGGTTTAGCCTAACTAGGGGTAAGATCATAATTTTGAAAAATTTTGGCCTGGAGAAAGTAAATGCAGAAATTATACCCAAAAATTTTAAGGAAATCTCATAAAATGAAAAATTAGGATTGTACATCAACCAAACCGGGCCGGGCAGGCCATTAGCTCGTAGTCTGGTCTGGTAAGGTCTTCGGGCTTGGTCATTCCAACCCAAAGACCTGCCCAACCCAGTGGAGAACCCGCTGTCCACCTGGTTGGGTAGATTGGACTAGATTGGACCATACCAGGTCCTTGGTCTAGTCTAGTGTTTTTTTTTTTGGGCATCCTCTTTTTTTTTGGGTCCAATCTAGTCTTCTTTTTTTTTTCCTGTAAATAAATAGAAATATATAATTTCAAAATAACTTGAAATTGAAAATAATTCTCTTGCCTTTCCTTCTACCTATTCAAACTTACATTTCGCTAAAAAGTACAGTATGCACAAACCAGCAAGCCGCAAGCCTTCAAGGCATGCCGCGAAAAACTAATATTAACGAATGAAAATAATACCCATCAATAAACTATAAAACCTACATGTGCAGAATAAAATAATACAATCAAAACCCCACAAAGTGAAAAATGATACGAACAAGATAATACAAGGAAGTGGCGGCTGAAGAAAACAAATAATAGAGTAGTGAGGCGACGGAGGATAGAACAAAACGAAGTATAGGGAAGCCACAGAAGAAGAAAAAAATGAACGAGGGAGCAGAAGATGTAGCAGCGGAAGAATTAAAATATAGGTCCACTAGTTTGCGTGAGCTGCTGCTTCTTTACCTTTAAAATAACTAATTTTAATTGTAATTAGCAAAAGCAGAAAGATAGGTCCTCTGGTCCATGTAAGTTAAGGCACTAGCAAAAGTGAACCATAATCTAAAACAAATGTTTAAATCCACATAACAACAAATCCTACAGAAAGATTTTGTTAGTAAGACACCAATATATTTACTTACCAGATTTACATTAGGT